CGTGTCACTTCTAAACACTTATGTGTCATGAATTCAATAAAAGTCTTTAGAGGGAATATGTATACAACACTTGCACGTATTAAACCATGAGAGTACCAAATTATTATAAAATACCTCACTTGATAAGTAAACAATATTCCCAGGCATCCCGTAAAATTAGTACAACCGGTATTCTGTCATTTTCAGGAAAATATGGGTTTTGTACATTTCTTTATAACACTGGTTGACCATTAGTCAACATTTTGTTTGAAATTGGTTACACATCAAAGAACAGGCGCAAGGGAGCAGGCCAGCTACATGTAGTCTGGTTTCTTGACCTGAACATTTTCTGTGTCTATAAATTGTTCCGTCTGGTCAGGGAACCAGATTGCAATGAAGCCAGCGACGTGATTAGTCGACTTCATACGCACCCCTTCATGGCCATACAAAAGTAGGTGGTCAACTCCAAGTCAAACATGAAGGTGGACAGAAGGCAAAAACGTTGGTTATACTGGGAAGGTTAGATTTCCGTGATCCTTTGTTCTGACATAAAATTATTCATTACTTATTAAACTGGACTGTGTCTGATGAAATGGTTGTCGGCCCAACCCTTCTGCATACATGTAACTCAACAAAACGCAACAAACACCTTGACCTCTGGTTGAATTTGGATTTTTCCCCCCCATAAATTACAAGTACTCTTTACACCCTGTACTGTAGCAGACCAACACCAACCAAAGAACTCAGAATGAGCAAAATCTGTCCTGTTTATACCCTATGAACTGCATCTTGCGTGAAAAACAATACACACTACTAGCGTAACCACGCCCACGGTTCTAAAATTGCAATAATATCCCTTACATTCTCCAAAATTAAACAGCAGAATCATACAAAATATCATACAAAAAAATCTTGAATCAATCTTCAACACATTGTGTAAATGTAAACTGCCCTAAAATGTGAATAATTGCACAGAATTCCCCCTTAATACTATTAAATGAATTAATACAATCATAAAATGTGTTCTAAAAACTACATGGTAATACCAAGGCGTGACAATCTGGGGTCCTACTTGGGTGTGGCTAGGCGGCTATGGACGTCTATAGGCACGGAGAGTGAACTCCTATCCTGCGGAGAGCAATGGGCTAGTCTGGCCCAAGCCATCTGCGGAGAGCAATGGGCTAGTCTGGCCCAAGCCACCTACGGAGAGCAATGGGCTAGTCTGGCCCAAGCCATCTGCGGAGAGCAATGGGCTAGTCTGGCCCAAGCCATCTACGGAGAGCAATGGGCTAGTCTGGCCCAAGTCACCTACGTAGAGCAATGGGCTAGTCTGGCAAAAGCCATCTACGGAGAGCAATGGGCTAGTCTGGCACAAGCCATCTTAGGAGAGCAATGAGCTACTCTGGCCCAAGCCACTTACGGAGAGGCTAGGCGGCTATGGACGTCTGTAGGCACGGAGAGTGGACTCCGATCCTGCGGAGAGCAATGGGCTAGTCTGGCCCAAGCCATCTGCGGAGAGCAATGGGCTAGTCTGGCCCAAGTCACCTACGTAGAGCAATGGGCTAGTCTGGCACAAGCCATCTACGGAGAGCAATGAGCTACTCTGCCAAAGCCACTTACGGAGAGGCTAGGCGGCTATGGACGTCTGTAGGCACTGAGAGTGGACTCCAATCACACGGAGAGCAATGGGCTAGTCTGGCCCAAGTCACCTACGTAGAGCAATGGGCTAGTCTGGCCGAAGCCATCTACGGAGAGCAATGAGCTACTCTGGCCCAAGCCACCTACGGAGAACAGTGGGCTAGTCTGGCTCAAGCCATATACAGAGAGCAATGAGCTGGTCTGGCTCAAGCCATCTACGGAGAGCAATGAGCTAGTCTGGCCCAAGCCATAAACGAAGAGCAATGAGCTAGTCTGCCCCAAGCCATCTACGGAGAGCAATGAGCTACATGTAGTCTGGCTCAAGCACTCTACGGAGAGCAATGAGCTAGTCTGGCTCAAGCCATCTCTGGAGAGCTCTTGACTTGGAACATCGAAGGAGACCATCAGAGAAAGTGAGCTAAAAGTGGGCTCACTATACCAGCATTGTCTTGACTTTGCTCTTGAGACGATTCGGCGTTGACTACCGAAACATTACAGTTGTGGGGCGACACACAGAACAGCAGTGAAGGGAAGTGGACCGAAGCCCCCCGGCTGACCCCGTGGTAGTAGTTTGGCGTTTGTGACACGAGGGTAGTTGAACCCAGCCTTACGGTATATGCTCGTCAAAACCAAAAAAATACAATACAGTGTGCAGTGATGAAGGCCGCTAGAATTGTAATACATCTGTGTACTGCATACTCAAGGTGTGCCTAATCCTCAGGTGGACTGCAGGCTCTAAGCGTGCCTAATCTTAAGCTTACTAAATATGTATATGAATCTCTTACATATTATAGCATAGTTTATATGTGTACAGGGTTCTAGCCAGGCATACAATAGGATATCGGGCCGATACGCTTCGAAAAAAATCCGATACGTTTGAAGTTAGCCGATATGCTATCGATATGCTTCACATTTTCCGTGGCAAAAAAAAAACTTTCCAAGGTTTTCTCGCTACTTTTGGAAATCATCGGTTTGTCTGCACAGTATCATGAGCCACAACATAAAGACTTAGCCACCAGACATCACTTCTAAGTTCTTGGTGATTAATTACAACTTACAGTTACAAGATTTATCTCAAGAACAAACCTGCCACAGTGCCAGCATTTATACGTCACGTTCGGCCTTGCCTTGTCTGAATTACGCGGCGCGGCATTTATCACACACACAGGAGCCATGTACACATCAGCGCGGCGTGGCCTAGGCATTGCACCGGCAGCGGAGCCTATTCATTGTGTGCGGTGCACACGGTGCCGATGCAGTATGGGCCGTCAATGCACCAGTTCATGCGCCGCGCTACTGCTGCACTGCACTGCGCAGGGCCGGACGCAGCGTCTAGGACGATACCATTTGTGGCAGCACAGGGGATGCCTTTTCTCATCTCGCCAATCATGATCATCTTAGTCACGCTTTGATTAGTATTTCTTCATGTTTCAACCACTTTTTGCAATTTTCTTGTTTTGGGCTACGAAGAAAAATTGACTCATTCTACATCTTACATATTTTTTAAACTTTTGTTTTTGGGTTTGGTAGCTTTGGTTGTCTGTTTAAACGCTTTGGTCAGAATAATACCATTAAAACGAAAGTGATACATGTATTGTTTTGTCTACCCTGCGTGGATTATTTCCCCTGACCCATGTCTGATTTCGTGGCCGGCTGGCCCAATGCAACATTTTCTTCTTTGTCTTAAGCGTTTTAAATAAATAAACTAGCATTAAGAACACTGCAAGATAGGAAATTCCGTAGTTTACTGAGTTTGAAATGGCTTTAAATTCGAAGGGAGGGAAAATTACAAGTTGGTTCAAACGTGTACGTGCCCAGCCGGAGGATAATAATACAGATGCAGATGTCAGCAAGTCATCAAATAGTTCAGACGACTGTCTTGGCAGTGAAAATGCCAGCAGCTCCACCTCGCAGACCAGCAGCAGCAGCAGCAGCATGAGCGCAAGCCTGACTAAAAGCTTTGACGAGAAGTGGCTGGAGATGTATTGCTGGGTGCTTTGAACACCTGACGGTAAGTTCCAAACAGACCCACATCATTTAATAAATTTATCTCTTAATTTATCCCCTAAAATTAGGAATTAAATAATAAAATAAATGTAGTAGTTATAAAAATTTTAATAATATACACAGGCTAGAAGTCGCCATTTCGAAGCGCAACAATGCTGCCCTAAAAAAGTGCAGAATTTTGATTGAGGGAAATTGTTCCCGAACTTTAAGCAGGTGTCCGTTGCCGGATATCCCACGTACGTGCGTGTCGAAGGTGCCTTATGAAAACCCGACTCCTGTGAAAATCGGACCCCTTTTCCTATTTTGGTGAATCCCTCTCAGGTCACACTGCTATTGATCATACATACGCATGCGTATTACTACCAAAGAGTCGACATTTCACGGAGTCTGATATTCACGCTACACCGGCACCGCGCCTAGCGCTTTAGTGCACACACTTGGCTCGTCACCAGGGTCTTGCGCATGCGTGCCAAGACGTTTTTGTGGAACTCAAAAATGTGTGTTCAGACCAAACAAAAGAGCATTAATAACAATTTTGGAAGGAAAAATGACAATAACCAACAACAATCTTGGCAGGAAATCGGCTAAAACATTTGTTCAACATTTACAATGAAGAATATCTTTGAGAAAAAAAATTAACCAGCAAAATATTGCGCAAGCTGTGATTCAATATCATTCTATTTGCCTTCGGCTCATGTCAGCAAGTTGGTTCGCGCACGTTCTCACGTACATGTACATGTATGTAGGCCGATATAATGTAGGCCTATATGTACACGCACATGTACAATGTACAAAGACAGGGTTACATTGAGACGTTACACTTCAAGTCCTGCATGTGCAGCCCCCGGTACTTGGCACACCTTTTTTGGGGGGGGGGGTTATCAAAATTCAGGCGCCGAATTTACCTCGTGTTTAACAATAATATTGATAGTATACAGACGTGAGACTTTGTCAGAATTAAGACATTTTTAAATCTATGAGAAATACTTTAACAGTGTTGAACGGTATGCATATTCAGAATTTTTTTCAACTGACAATCTCATGCGTGGGTAAAGTTATTAGTAGAACAATTTGAAATAAGTTTAAGGCAAACAAGGTTTTTATGCACTAAAAGTTCAATCGCAATGTATCATTTTTCTGGAAGCATTAAACAAAAAGCATAAGTTCACTATTTTAATTAGTATAATTTGTTAAAAATGAGACAGCACACATTTATTTTGACCTAGTGCATTTGAACATCAAACATTAAGAAATTATTTGATTTTAACAAAAAAATGAATTAAGTTAAATTGTCATACATATTATGTATTTGACAAACAATTTTTGAAATAAATATTTAATAAGTATTCAACACTACAGATCAGGACTAACAAAAGCGTACCTTCCCACTTAAACCCGTCTTAAATCTTAATTAAGACAAACTTTGTGACTTGACAGTAATGTGTTTTTGTTCGCAATAGTTTCAATGCAATTAAAGCAAATCTAATGATGAACTTTTTTTTATAAATTACACCAGGAATGCTTTCCAAACTTTGCCGGAAGCACAATGTTAGAAGCAAATCTGGTTCTGGAGTTTGGACGACAGTGCCCTGTTGCTCCATCTTCAAACAAAGTCTGGATAAACGCAAATCATCCTTGATGCATCAAACTGCTGAGGAAATGGAGTTGAGTTTGAAGCTAGCAGAAAAGACAGGAGGCGTGCAGGAAGCTTTGAGCCAGCAGGTCAACCTACAGAGAACCGCCTTTGTTACAGCTCTTCGGCTACTCTATTGGCTTGCCAAGGAAGAAGTTGCGCATACAACAAAGTTCCCGTCACTGGTGAAACTTGTCCAGCAATGTGGTGTTTCCCATCTGGAACATCTGAGAGTGGTAATTCAGTTTACCTTGATTTATGCTTTATAATAAAATTTATTAAAGGGAATATACATCATTTGCTTTTGCTGTAATTTTCAGAAATGGATGGAATTGGGGGGCTGGAAATATATAGCAAATATATATACACTGACTTTTTTGAGGTTTTGGGTTCGAAAATGCTATAAAAACCAAGAAAAACAATCATTTTCATATAGTCTGGTTCCCTGACTCCATATAAGAAGAAACAGAGCAGTTTACATACATTGGGGAATTGTAAGGTCAGGGAACCAGTCTAGCTGGCTCGTACCCGTTCATAGGTTTGTAATCGATTGCAAACAAGTGCGATGATCAATTGGGGCCAGTATTTGAAAAAAAAGCCAGTTTTTTCCAACGCTGATCGGCCGGTCAGCGTTGGAAATTGATACAAAAATACCACTTTTCTTGAAAATGACAGTATACCAGGTGCCATGATTTTACAGGATGCTTTACACTGTCATTCACTAACAGTCCAGCAAGGTATTTCAAAATGATTTGGTAGTTTTATTTTTTGTTGATTTCAAATGTTGTATTTTCCCTTTAAAATGCTTAGCTTTTAAATTCTTTTAATTATTTTTCTAACAATGCATATTTACTAATTTTCATATCTAAACATAAATACTTTGGAAACCATCTTTTAATAGGGAGATAATGCTTTCTACCAAAGTGAGACAGCACTGCAAGAGATGTTGGAAAATTTGGCTGAAGTCACCAGCAGTGAGATATATGAGGCTATGCAGAGCAGTCCCTTCTTCAGCATCCTGTGTGATGAGACGACAGATGTTTCCGTCCTCAGCCAACTGATCTTCTATGGACGTTTTCTGGATAACCAGGGCCAGGTACGCTCCCCATCCTGCCCAATTACTAACGTTATCAGGCAAAGTAAAGTTGCAGTGAGCATTATACCCCAGTATTATGAAAGCCTGTACATCATGCTCTTGGTAAAAATATATATATATATATATATATATATATATATATATATATCCAATGAAATCGTCTTCTATCACAATTCACAGTGCTCAATACATCTCTGTAGAGCTATAAACATGCATGAATTCAGAATATGAGTTAAACAAACTTTGGCATATCTCTCTTCTGGACAGACTGTTTCGTACCATAAGGCACTCATCAGCAGAATGACGAAAAATAGAATAGAAGTAGCATCTTATCTTATTTCGAATCAAGCGCGCGCACGCGTTACGCGCGTTACGTCATTGAAGTTAGTACGTGTTTACGTCACTGAAGTAAGAACACATCTGTCTCGATGCCTGCACTTGGAGACGATTTCGCTTCTCTTATTCAGTGTACCTAGATCTGGCCTACATATGATTATGTACTTCTCTGCTATACACAAATTGCATCTCTTGTTTACGTTAGAGTATGGCAGTGCTTTCTGAACAATGTCCCATTTGATTTCATAGTCTTTCCCCTCGTCCTTTAAGTCCCATATATGTTTACTTAGCTCTGTTTGCGCCCTCTTGCTCTCGGATCTGAATGACTGCTTGTGGTTCGCTAGTCTCGCCTTGAAGGTTGTGGATGTCAGCCCGACGTATGCCTCCTTCCTGCCTTCGCTCGTGACGGTGGCCTGGTACACGATGTTCTTGCTGAGGCACTCCCCGTTCAGCGGGCATTCGGCATTGCGGGGGCAACTGCATGTTCTACCACCGACGTCGTCCTCTTGTTTTACCTTCCGTTTGTTGATTGACTGGATCGTTGCCTTCATGTTCGGCATGCAGCTGTACGATAACTTTACTGTGTTCCGGTTGAGCACTTTGTGAAGCTTATGTTCCTTGGGGAAGCATTTGTCTATTATCTGAAGGAATTTCTTTCCAATGTTGGTACGTACGTTCTTGTTGTATGGCGGGTTGTACCATGTCAACTCCCTTTTTCTAGTCCTTTTCCGTGTGTTATTGCCCGGTGTGTATGTCAACCGATACTTGTGCCCGCTTTTTTGCAGAGCCTCTTGGTAGGCCGGGGCAGCTTTCTCGAATGCCTCCTTGGTCGACGAGATGTTGGAGAGTCGCTTGTTGATTCCCTCTGGTATCTGTTTGATGACGGCGGGTGGATGGTTTGACTGGACATGTACATAGAGAGGTACATTACCTGGTTTCATGTATGGCTTGTACCCTCCCGTTCGCAGGTCTAATGTGATGTCAAGGAAGTTTACTGTTGCCTTGTTGGCTTCGATCGTTACCTTTAAGTCATTTTCCCGGAATACTTGGCATATTTCCTTCTTGATGTTTTCTATTTTCTTGGGGGTCTCTTTGAATACTGCCAGACCGTCGTCCCTGTGTAGTCCCACTCTATTTCCGTACTTTGGTTTCAGGATCGACAGCATATATGCTACCATCAGCTCGCATGACTCCGCGCCGTCGAAACTGCCCATCGTGACATCGAATTTGCTGTCTGCATTACGCTTTTTCCACGGTACCTGGTCGTTGAATACCACTGTCTGTTTCGCGTGGATGATGATATCTTTCTCCTTGCTGCTAATGTTCTCGTAGTTTTCCGCGAACCCTAGGGCCTTCAGGAGAAGCTTTTCCGTTATCGAGGGGTAGAACTCCACAATGTCAAAATTTATGAAGCTCGATTCTTGCTTGCTTGGGATTTTCTTATACCAGTCCAGTAGCTTTTCCACAGGTTGAATCCCGTCGCGCTTATGACTTTACCGACGATTCTGTCGAGGATCACTTTACTTATATGTCCTATCTCTGATTTGGTTGGGCTGATTAGTCGACATGATGGTTCGTTATCGAAGTTGTCCTTGTGGTCCTTCAAAGTAATGAAGGCTTCCCTCTCTGCCAATTTATCTATGCGGTCGCCCAGTCCAAGACTTTTAGCAATTCTTTTCGCTTCGGATTGAACGAAGACATAAATACGATTAGGAACGATGATAAGCTTACCGTCAAGGCTGATAAGACTACAAATTATTACAAGATGGGAAAAGATGACTATGTAAATCTTGTCAGGGCGAATGTCACCAAAACATACAAGAAAACCGAGCAAAAGGAAGTAGCGGAAATCAATCGCGAAGCAAAAAGAATTGCTAAAAGTCTTGGACTGGGCGACCGCATAGATAAATTGGCAGAGAGGGAAGAAGAGATAGGACATATAAGTAAAGTGATCCTCGACAGAATCGTCGGTAAAGTCATAAGCGCGACGGGATTCAACCTGTGGAAAAGCACAGACGCCGTACTGGACTGGTATAAGAAAATCCCAAGCAAGCAAGAATCGAGCTTCATAAATTTTGACATTGTGGAGTTCTACCCCTCGATAATGGAAAAGCTTCTCCTGAAGGCCCTAGGGTTCGCGGAAAACTACGAGAACATTAGCAGCAAGGAGAAAGATATCATCATCCACGCGAAACAGACAGTGGTATTCAACGACCAGGTACCGTGGAAAAAGCGTAATGCAGACAGCAAATTCGATGTCACGATGGGCAGTTTCGACGGCGCGGAGTCATGCGAGCTGATGGTAGCATATATGCTGTCGATCCTGAAACCAAAGTACGGAAATAGAGTGGGACTATACAGGGACGACGGTCTGGCAGTATTCAAAGAGACCCCCAAGAAAATAGAAAACATCAAGAAGGAAATATGCCAAGTATTCCGGGAAAATGACTTAAAGGTAACGATGGCAACAGTAAACAAGGCAACAGTAAACTTCCTTGACATCACATTAGACCTGCGAACGGGAGGGTACAAGCCATACATGAAACCAGGTAATGTACCTCTCTATGTACATGTCCAGTCAAACCATCCACCCGCCGTCATCAAACAGATACCAGAGGGAATCAACAAGCGACTCTCCAACATCTCGTCGACCAAGGAGGCATTCGAGAAAGCTGCCCCGGCCTACCAAGAGGCTCTGCAAAAAAGCGGGCACAAGTATCGGTTGACATACACACCGGGCAATAACACAAGGAAAAGGACTAGAAAAAGGGAGGTGACATGGTACAACCCGCCATACAACAAGAACGTACGTACCAACATTGGAAAGAAATTCCTTCAGATAATAGACAAATGCTTCCCCAAGGAACATAAGCTTCACAAAGTGCTCAACCGGAACACAGTAAAGTTATCGTACAGCTGCATGCCGAACATGAAGGCAACGATCCAGTCAATCAACAAACGGAAGGTAAAACAAGAGGACGACGTCGGTGGTAGAACATGCAGTTGCCCCCGCAATGCCGAATGCCCGCTGAACGGGGAGTGCCTCAGCAAGAACATCGTGTACCAGGCCACCGTCACGAGCGAAGGCAGGAAGGAGGCATACGTCGGGCTGACATCCACAACCTTCAAGGCGAGACTGGCGAACCACAAGCAGTCATTCAGATCCGAGAGCAAGAGGGCGCAAACAGAGCTAAGTAAACATATATGGGACTTAAAGGACGAGGGGAAAGACTATGAAATCAAATGGGACATTGTTCAGAAAGCACTGCCATACTCTAACGTAAACAAGAGATGCAATTTGTGTATAGCAGAGAAGTACATAATCATATGTAGGCCAGATCTAGGTACACTGAATAAGAGAAGCGAAATCGTCTCCAAGTGCAGGCATCGAGACAGATGTGTTCTTACTTCAGTGACGTAAACGCGTACTAACTTCAATGACGTAACGCGCGTAATGCGTGCGCGCGCTTGATTCGAAATAAGGTAAGATGCTACTTGTATTCTATTTTTCGTCATTCTGCTGATGAGTGCCTTATGGTACGAAACAGTCTGTCCAGAAGAGAGATATGCCAAAGTTTGTTTAACTCATATTCTGAATTCATGCATATATATATATATATATATATATAGATTCTGTTTTGTGTGAACACAAAGTGAAATTTTTTTATGTACAGGTGCAAACTAAGTTCTTGGCTATAAAGGACATCCCTAATGGAACTGCCGAAACAGTGACCAACAACATCAACATGTTCATGGATGACAACAAGCTGGAGAGAAGCAAATTTGTTGGATTTGGGTCCGATGGTGCAAGTGTAATGGTGGGCAGTCAGACTGGTGTAAGTAATTCTGCAAGTTTTCACACAAAAAAGCCTTTTGATTGTTTAATTTAAATTATGCTCAACGTTTGATAATTTTACTTGCTGGTCTCGACAAGATTAAAACAAGAATCACCGTGTCTTGTGAACATTCACTGTGTTGCTCACAGACTGGCACTTGTATCAGCCCAAGCATCACATGGGATTACATACCTCACAAAGTTTAAGGTCAACCTGTCGGCACTGTTTTCGTTTTACAGTAGGTCTGCTGTTTGATCTGCTGCCCTACATGAAATCCAGGTAAAGTCTTTATGACTGTTTCTAAATCTGTCATATTTTATTTAATTTTGCACATACGTGTATACTATATATACCGGTTTTATTTCGTCTGTTTTCCATTGCAGCGTGTCACAAAAGATCCCATCTTCAAAGTTGCCCAGGCAAAGGATGTGAGGTGGCTATCGCACCAGAAAGCTGTGGACACAGTCCGTCAGTGTTTACCATCACTGCTGATCAGCTTAGAGAGAGAGGCCGCAGAGAGAGGGGACCCCAAGGCAGTAGGTCTTGCATCATTCATGAAGACGTACAACTTTGCAGCCACTGTGTCTATGTTGAGTGACGTTCTACCCCATCTCACTAGATTGTCCTTGCTGTTCCAGGTAGTCAAAAAATGCTGTTGTAAATACTTCCAAACAAACTTAAAACAAATTGCAAAAAGAGAAAAAGATGTTTTTTTTCCTCTTTAACATATACTAATGTAAAAGTTGTTTTTTTTGCAATTTGACAATTCCACTTCTGTTTTTGTTCAGTTGGACAACTATTTTGTTCATCCCATCTATTTTTCTTTTTCACCACTGAAAACAGAAAACCAATGTGGACTTCACTGTTGTGGACACTGTTGTACATGCAACTATAGCAGCAGTGGAACATCTCCGCGACCACTATGGACAACACATGACAGCTCTGTCGGCGTTTGTTGAAAAGTTGCGCAGTGAGGGAGTGACGGTTCCGCTGAATGCACACCAACAGTTTATTGAACAGGTATAGACATGTACTATTACAGATTTTTAAGCAAGTTACTTTATCAATACATTGTTTTACGTTTATTTATTTCACTAGTTTATGTTATATTTCTTTTGTATTGTTTTCTGAATTTTAATTATTGTCTTTATTGAGGTGTACAATCCATACATAACAAACGTCATGACCAACCTGCAAGACAGATTCCCTGACACTGGACTGCTGAAGAATTTCTCTTGCTTCGATTTCACATCAGCAGATTAGGAAACAGCAATTTCGGCTAATGCCACTGATCTCCAGGTAAGTGTCACGTGCATATATTAATGCCTCTCTCATTGTAATAGAGGATTTTAGGGGAAAGTTTTAGTCCTACTTCAGTTAAACCACTAATTGCAGACCATGCCTTTACCAATATCTTTGTGCTGTAGGAGCTCTGCCAACACTATGCCAGTTTGGTGAGTGAAGATGATGCCATGGCTGAGTGGGATCTTTTGGTCCCTCTTGTGAAGAAGAGGTCAGAAGAGTCATCGACATACAAGGAAACACTCATATTTGTGTCAAAGCAAACAGAGTTGCTGCCAAATCTATCCAAATTGGCATCAATTGCTCTGGTCCTACCAGGTTCGACTGCTGGTAAGTTATACTGGTCAACTGGGGATCTAAGGTGAAATGTTATTGAACAGTTGTACAAAAAGCATATGAGGATGAAAGTGTGAAAACTATATTATACACAATGTCCTGAATTGCACATGCACTCCCAATTATTAACTTTCACTTTTTTAACAACTCCAGACTGTGAGCGTGGCTTCTCCACAATGAAAAGAATAAAGACAGGGGCCAGGAACCGACTTGGAGAGATAACTCTCAACAGTCTTCTGGTCATTGCCATTGAAGGACAAGACTGCTGCTCCTTTGACTACGAGAAAGCCGCCACCATGTGGAGTCAAAGAAAGAAAAGGAGACTGGAAATTAAAAGTTTTTTTTTGCCACCATCATGATCATTATGCCACCATAGGCGATAAAAAGTCATCATTTATAGTCATTAATTCAGTCAACACTTTTATATAAAGAAGGTCCTTGAGACAACAGTAAGAGGTACCTTATATCAGTAATGGAAAACAATGAAGACTTAAGACCAACATTTTTCCTAATCCTTATGGAAAAGGATGTTGTATATAAACAGTTCTCTTATTATCAGGGTTTGACTATAATGACAAAGATTTCATGAAAAGGTAAACTTGGCGTAATAAATGCTTATTGAAGGACATCTAATGCTGACTACTGTTTTTTTTTTCTGGTAATGGAATTTTTTTTTTTTTTAATCCCACATTTAACAGGCCCACTTTCTGCACCATACTGTTTGCTCTTTTTCCATAAATTATGCTTCCAAATGGCCTTAGATTGCACCACAGAGTGTCCAGAATGTCAGAATTGTTCGGGGCCCTTGGGCGGGCCCCGGACCCCACGCCGTAAGGGCTTTCGCGCTTTGCGCTCGCAGGATCCATTCGCCGCAGGCCCCTATCCTTTAATTTCATCCTGGCTAGAACCCTGTATGTGTAGGCAAAAACCCTTAGTGATATAACTACAACAAGGCATGGATTTATCGCAAAATGGACTCAAATACCAGTATGTGGAATAAAAGATAACCAGATTAACCAGAAGAAAAGGCCTGATCTCTAGAAGGAAGTACAAACTGTACGTAAGATTGAACTATGGTTAGGCTGGGCTTAGGGTAATTTCGTCACATGGTACTTCAGGGCTTACACGGGGTACCACCATTTAGCCTCTGCTACAGAAGCGTGGCACAAATATGTCACGTGGTGAACATTCAGCTGTACCTAAGCCGGGATGAGTTATAGATGAAAATTGAAGTGACGTCATGATGACGTCATCATGGGTCATGTGCCGTCATGTTAAAAATGATTAGATTTAATCACTACAAAATCAACCGTGAGCGACCTGAACTTGACGTTTGCGGGAATGGATAGAATAATCCAGGGTCTTCATTGTTTATATTATGTGCAAAATCACTTGAACCTTCCTTCCGGTTGAAACCGGAAGTGCCTTGTAATTTAAAATTGGTGAAAGAAGTGAACTTGCTTTCAATGATGTATGCTCTGGATAAGTTGTTCTTTACCATAAAATTATAGTTATACATAAAAATTGATGTGACGTCATCATGACGTCATCACGTGACATGTGACGTCGTAATTCAAAGCCCTATGAGAATGTAATTACATAGTATATGCCACCATTTATTATAAACAGAACTACACAGCTTCCTTAATGGAACTTTTACTTGAAACTTTACATATCACACGTCACAAAAAATTACCGAAACAGCCCTGTGTTTGTCCACAAAAAGTATACATCTAGTTTTTCAATTTTTTTCTTTCTTTACAGTGTTGTGCCAATGGAGTCAAACTAAGCAAGCTTGCGGAGGGGTGTGATGATACAGTAACTTCACTTGAAATGTTTTTCTCTGGATATGAAAATATCACAGGATTGAAGTTTTTCCCAAACTTGACTGCACTTATCCTAATGGGACAAGAAATCACAAAGATGGAAGGACTTTCTACCTGCAACCAGTTAAAAGAGCTATGGATTTGTGAGTGTAAAATTAAGGTAAAGATTACTTCTTTTCATAGTTTAGGCCAAAAAAAATAAATATTCAGTCTCTGGTCAGACCAAAGTTCCGGAATTGACGCGGCCAAGCAGTTTTTTTTTTTTTTTGCTTTTTTTTTTTTTCTTCACGCTTGGATTGTACAGACAAGGTGGGGTACTATTTTGTTTTTTTTGGTGTCCTCATGTACATTGGTGTCCTCCATAATTTGCCTTGGTGCTTTCGATCATTTGCCTTGGTGCAATTTCCCATTCCTTGGTGCTCTTTGGTAAAAAACAATTGAGGAGGTGCGGATATAGAGGGCGCTGTTGGAGCTACCGCGGAACATTTTGGAAAAAAAAAGATCGACGCGCATGATTAAAATTGACGCGCGCGCTGACCAGAGACCGACTTATTTTTTTTTGTGGCCTTATTCCCCTCTTAGTCATGTTAGTTGTCATTAGCTAATTTCACAAGTTCACAATGCCAGCTACTAAATGGAACCTGGTAACTTTGGTGTCTACTTCATTCACTTGCCCAAATAGCTACTACATACGCATATTTATTCAGCTGACAGGCTCAAACGCTAACAGATTTAATCAACCATCGAGCACCTTTTCGGGGCCTACCCATTATGCTACGTCATGAGTCCGCCATTATACTTCCTCTTTTTTTCTAGCGTGCAGCGTGCAGAAGTAAAAAAATTTTGCTCTCACCTTTTGACAAGTTTTTGTACAATTTTCGTTTTAAGAGTTTCTTTTTTATAGAATTTATTCATTAAGTGAGTTGTGTAGAATCTGTAGAGTTTGATTTTGAGTAAGTAGTTCTTCATTGGAGTGATTTTTTTGGTCTTTTGATTTTGTTTTTCTTTCACATGGCATAGCAGGTTTTTCAGCCTTTGTCTGACACCACGTGCAGCGGGCCAGGTTGGCGCTGTGGGGCTAACCCAGTGCCGGGAAGGCATCGTGGGTTCTCTCTCTGGGATCAAGTGCAATCCCTTTTTAGCCGAATTGGCTTTCTTGAGTTATTTTTATTATTACTTCTGTTTTACAGTTATCTAATAATAATATTTCTTTGTCAAAAACAATAATTTCATAATTATTAACTTGAAAAAATAAAAAAGACAGTGCATTTATTTTATGACTCCATAGACGGGACCTAAGCCAGCTGGCGTTGAGCATAACTTGCCTCGACACAGGTTCATCTCCCGAGTTATTTATCAAATCCGTCATCGTTGTTTCTGTAAAGGCCTTGGGGGAGACAGTGCGTCGTATCCCCGGAGAGAAGTGTGGTTATTCTCCACAAGGTCTGCTAGTCGCCCCATCAGGGCTCGAAATATCCACTAGACCATGGACCGTGTCTAGTGATTTCGGTGTTGGTCTAGTGCTGTGTGTGACTGCACTTGTCCGGTTGTCTAGTGTTTTTTCTTGCACTATATAAACCATTGCACTGAAATATATTAGCAGTTGAGGTTTGATTAATCGTGCTTTGAGTTCATTACTTGATTGATTAAAATTACCGACCAAAAAACTCCCTGTGCCGTGCCGAAACGCAACGAAGCTACCTGGCCAACGCACCAGTCATGCCAATTGCAGACATTAGCTGCATCGATGAACATGCATGCGTGCCTCGTGAGCGTCCTCTTTTCTCTTAGCGGCAGGTCGGGTAGGACGTGCGTTAAATAGCTCGCTGTTTGCCTCGTCATTTACTACCCTTTTTTGCGCTTAAGAGAAGTTTATAATAAAAAGAGTTAGTAATAAAAACAGTTTGTAGAGTTTCATCATCTTCTTGGTTCTATTTATTTCATAAATATGAAGTGTTTGGGGAGGGCCGATCTTTCACAAACCGGGGGGAATTCCTCTCCCACGGGACGGATCGAGTTCTCGGGGGACTCTGCCGTTAACGCTACGACGTTACCGCGGCAGCAGTCTCTCGTCCGGCACCCTCAGCCACAGTCGGCTAGGGGAGTTGGCAGTTCCGCCGATCAGTTAAGGGGACCTCTGTCACTTTCTCCAGTCAACTGCGGAACACCCAAACTAAAGGCACACTCTGGCAAGGTTCCTCCAAAACATATCTCCTGTGCCGGAGCAAAGCCTAAGAAGGGCCGTCAGGGCAAGCATGGCTCGGCAACGAGCGCCGCTGTGTCACCTGGCCCTCCCCCGATCACGGGGCAGCCCGAGGGGACTAGCCGTCACGCTTCGGTGGGCTCTAGTCACCCGTGTCCTCCCGACACAGTGCCGAACACCACTGGTTGTCGGGATGGGCTATTACACGGGCTACCGGCCCGTCCAGCGCTCACTCAGCCCACGGGGCCTGAGGCGCTGTCTGCCTCCCGACACAGTGCCGAACACCACTGGTTGTCGGGATGGGCTATTACACGAGCTACCGGTCCGTCCAGCGCTCACTCAGCCCACGGGGCCTGAGGCGCTGTCGGCCGGGTACATTATGAGCGATGCGGAGCCGGTCGACCGGGGGGATCTCGGACCGACGGCCCCCGTGCTATCTCGCTCAGAGGGACGACTCTCATCATCGGATTTTTTTCCGTTGTTCGGGGGTCCCGGTGCCCCAGGTGTCTTCTGACTTGTAGTCAGACACACCCTGGGGCCGTTCTTCAAAGAGGAATAGCAAGAAGAAGAAAACTGATCGCCGATTACGCCGTTCTTCTTCAGATTCTGACGGTTCCTCTGACCGGTCCCACCAGGGCAAACGCTCCTGACGTGAGGACTCGATCTCGAGGTCTGTTTTTCTGCAGGCATTTCAGTCGATTTTACCTACACTATCGGCTATGTCTGCAGGACGCCAGACGGGCCCTAATGGTGGCCCCCCTGGAGTGGCGAGCCACGCCCCACAACCCTCGGTTGTTGGTCTAGCCTTACAGTCTCCGGGCACCGGTCACGGTTGGGTGACCCGTGAACAAAGGGACATACCGCACACAGTTAGCCATGCTCCTGGAGTCTTTATGTGCAGTGAATGCTTCATAGTAGTCATTCATTGGTCACGATTGCGTGGCCCAAGGACAACGAGGTACATGTACAAAAATGAAAAAAACACATGTTCATACATGTACATGTTCATGTTTACCACACATGGTTGCGCGCTATACCGGAAGCCCGGCCTACGGCGAGCTGGACTTCACATTCGCCGGCCGTGGGCCACGGTCGCGTGGTCCAGAGACAACGGGACCTACCGCGAACAGTTAGCCGTGGGCCAGGATCCCCGCTTGTGTTTAGTCTTCACCATCTGCATAATATTATGTACAATGTATGTCTATTATCTCCGAGGGTGTTGCCCAGCCACCACCGCGTGGTTCTGTACAACTAGCCCCTCCAGACGGCTCTCAGTCAACGGGGTCATTTTGGCCTTCGCATTCGGCTGATTCATCCGATGATGACGAAGAATCAGACCGGTTACAATGGCTGTCCATCGGGCATCAAATCATTCTTGTCCAGACGGAGAATTTTTGGTGCCAATCATGACTTTAACGTCGTACATTAGCTGCACTGGGACGCTTTGAATCAGTCACTTGCAGTTACAAATGTATTTGTCACGACAACCCTGCCATACCAACAGGCTTCTCGCGACACGTATTTGTCATGACAACCCTGCCATACAAGCAGGCTTCTCGTGACATGTTTTTTGTCATGACGACCCTGCCATACAGGCAGGCCTTTCATGACATGTATTTATCATGGTGACCCCACCATACCTGCAGGCTTTCATGACAAGATTGCCTGAAGGTTGGCTACGGTCATCCATGAAACCACGGACGTATCAACGGCAGAATCCGTGTGATTGGTCCGCATGCGCAAAATAAAAGGCAGAGCATGGGAGATCAGTGTTGAGGGCGACTGACTGAGCCCCATCATGTTCTCGGGACATTTTCAGACCGTAGACCTCCCCAGCATTGGTGTCTCCTAACTCTGATTCTTTATTGAGCTCTGTACATGTACATGTGCATTTTATAGTGTCTATATGTACCATGTCATGATGTTTTGCCTTTCACGATAATTTTTATTTTGTGTGCCCCACCGAACTCTTATGTGTAGGTATCGGTGGGCTGTAATTCATTACGTGTGATTCCCAAAATCGGGGATCACATCTCTGTTGGCATGTTGAGGGTACCATTATGACTAATGTCTTTATCATGCAAACCTTTTTGGGCTGCCTTGTCCACCCACATGTGGAGGGACGGGCCCATCCAGGGTTTACACGTATTGTTATGTGCCCCTGTGAAAGCACAATAGCATCTCGCATGACCCACCTTCTTGACAGTGCTAGTCTATGCATAAGTAGTATTGCTCTACAGGTAAGTAGAGTGAAGTAGACTCCCCCCCCCCCACAGAAGTGTGGTTGGGGTCTACGAACGAATACTTACCTGTAGAGCATCCCTCACCCCTACCCCACTCTTCTCGAT